CAGCTTTTTGACTTTGCTTAAAGTATAATCAAGAGAAATTCTTCTTAATGTTAGTGTTAGAGTTGATAAAGAGAAATCTACAAACACACTAAAACTCACGACCACGTACTTCTACTTCTATACGTATGCCCAGTGCTACGATTGAAAAGATGGTGCTAGATTTGATGATCTATTTTGAATTAGAGTATCATATACATATGGCTTTATAGAGCAATTTTCGGTGAATAGATTTGACAGAATACAGGTTGAAATATTCTGTGCTACGAAACCGAAACTGCTGTGCGAGTATTATTTTGATACATCGATTTATGCTTACGATATCCATCGGAAGCTCAGATTGGCTGTTATTATCTCAGCTGTGCTCAATTTTTTCGACTCAAGAATAATAATAATAGTAATAATAATTCCATGCGTATGTCGAAAACCACCGTACTAGTGATTGTAGAAGCTTTCTGTTTCTTTTTTCTTCTCTTTCTTATAATCTTCTTTGCAAATTTTTGATTTATATAGACTCAATAAATTTCTATGTGTAAAATAAAACAACATACGATGCACCACGCATATTTGACGCGAACGCAGCAATAGACTGGTGTGGATGTGTTTGGGTACCAGCATTCTTTTGTGTCAAACGCAAATCCACATCCTCTGCTAACTCCACTTTCATTTTATATTGCTGATATTTTGACTATTTTTGGTTTAAAACTTCGCTCTCTGATCACTCAATGTACCTATCGACAGCGGTTTTTCAATTCAAAAGTTATCTTGATCGAGTTCAATTTGAAAACTCGTATCAAATGTGAACAAGAGCGTTTAATCATGAATAATTGTGTCTATGTTAGATAAAATTACTGTCGATCATATATTCCGCAAGATTTGCATATACAGACCCGTAACGTGTGCGCAATCATACTCTTTCAAAATCAACCTCATTGAACGCATCTGAAGTACTATTTTGATGATTCTATTATTGAAGATATACAACACCCACATCACAAAAGTCAAAGAAAATTATGTCCTCTAGAATAATTATCATAACATTAAACAAAATCATAGGAATTTTCAAGATCTTAGAAATATTCGTCCATTCAATCAATTCTTGTTGAACAAAACAAACTGAGAATTTTTAAAAGTACGTAATGATGATGTCGCTGTCATAATTTACTTCTTCTTGCTTTGCTTTCACAATTTGTTTTTTTGGCCGTTGTCGACAACAATCTGTTATCAGTACAACAGGCTGTCCAAATCGTGGCAGAGCTGTTGTTGCAATATGAACTCTACCCGCTGCCACATCATATTGACCAGTAAAGGGAAGAAACCAAAACCAATTTTGATCACGCATAGCAGCAAATATATAGTAGCAAGCACCAAGAAAATAGATAATGTCTCCATAGGTATATAGAAGATTGTTATTATACTCTTCTGGATGGACGTAAACTTGAATACTGTATACTACATAAATTATTGCGGCGGTTGTTGTTGATGAAAAAGCAATCACATCAGGATCATCCAACGTGAAACCACGACCAAGTGTGCGTGTATAAGTCATGTACCAAGACATGATCCTACAAAGATATGAAATTCGATTGTATAGTCTCAAAAGTTTAGACCAATGTTTAGCTAGTCTCCTGTTTGTGCTTTGCAGGCTAACTGAAGCTCATTTACAGAGAGAATCTATCTATAGGTGACGATAGATAAAACACAAACTTTTAGAAATGCACTTTCAGACTAGCTATCATCAAAACTAATGAAATCGCTTACGCACCATCCAAAATTGGCTAATAGATCGACAATGGATGCTGTCAGCTCGATCTTGTGTATTGCCACTGTATAATAACCTCCAAGTGTATCGAGTCTTGAATACCAGCTAGTTGACCATATATAAAGTCCAGCTTCTATATGATTCAGATATTCAGGTATCATAATGATGTCATGCCATGATCGATCTTCCCATGCCCACCAATAGAGAAAAGCCGATATAAGGTGAACAATTGCAAAGCCTCAAAATCGTAATGCACATCTATTATTCGTTAGAATCATAATCATAGTTGAGCAGAACTGTAATAGTTTCAGTTCTAGAGGACTGATTAATAATTTTTTCAAACTGGATCTAGTCACCAGTTCCTAAGATCGGAATTGATATGAAACTATTATAGTCTTATTCTCAAGAGAACTATGAATCAAAATGGGATTCTGTTTTACATGAAAACTTTGTAATCGATCTTACCAAAGTACATCCTATTTACTATTGGAGCGTCTCCCGACGGTTGATCGAGAATCGAAGTCATCATTGTTGTAGTATCCGATATGTTTTCCGTACTATTAGTTGATGTCGTGTCTGTCGATGAATTGACAGGAAAATTGAAATCAATAACAAGAAATCCGATCGTATATACCAAATACACCAAATTGGCAAGCATATATCGGCTACGTAGTATTTTTTTAAAGCATACTGGTACTCGAGCTCGTATATGTTTCCATTTTAGAGCCTCCCAGATAGAATGAAAGACTTCAATTTCATAGAACGGTGCTGTTAAATCGTGTGTCTCGTCGCTTTTAATACTATATTCACGTGCGTATACTTTATCAACATGCATTATAAATCAATTGATTTTAGTATCTTTCAACGCGCTCATTACTCTTCTCTTCTCACTTGTAAGTAAAATATTTCTCTTTCGGTTTCTCCCCCTGCATCTCTGTTTTTTTCGGGACCCACTGAATGCGTCGCATTCTCTCTTCTTTCGAACAGAACGAGCAAGAAAAATTGTATAAACAATCTTATGCTGTACTGTGCAATACGTCGTATTGTAACACGTGGTTGTACGTCGTGCTTTGCATTCGTGTACGAAATGAATATTTTTTATCGATGTTGGTCATCTTCTCTTCGCCCATGTAGGAATTGATCGTGTTGATTTTCACTCTATGACAGAAAAAATTATATTCACTATATTTGTCGTCACTATCCTGCATCGATTGTCAACCGAGTCATTCCACTTTGTTTATCGAACGACGATGGTACACCTAAACAAAAGAAAACTTTCTTGACTTCTGGTTTGGCAATGATCCTTTGCCACATCATCTTGTGACATCATCCTAACAATCATCGTTCTTCTCGTTCAACAATAGCAAGCATTTAATATTGTGATTTTTTTTTCAGCTGCTTCATGAGTTGAATTGCTGCTCTTTCTTTCTTATACTCACAAAAGACAAAGTAGGATGAGTAACAACATATTAAATGAGATACAGTCAAAGATACAAGCACGTCTCTATTCTATCGATGCATCGATGCTCAAAACAAGGATCTCATAATTGTTGAAAGAACGAGAATGAGAAATCCAATTATTCAACCAACATACTTCGTTTAATTATTTTTGTTGAGTCCCTGATTGGAAAAACCAAAAGATTGATTTTCTTTCGTTTTGTACTTACTACTCATCATGTATGTCTCGACAATAAGTACAAGACATGTTTTTATTATATTAATTAAACTGGGAAAATTATTTGTACACGGAACTATGTTTTTTATACTTGAAATTCTACGATGACAACAAGATTGTTAAAGTAGTGCATAAGCATTATAGTGTTAAATTTCTTCATTCACCAAACTTTTGCAGCATATTTGTGTTACTAGGATAACTATGCCATGATAGATGTCGCACAAATCAAATACACAATTATCGTCTATAACTCTGAAATTTTAGTTTGTCAGAAGAAATTGATAGCATCAATAATTGATATTAGTGTTTTTTAGCTCATGTATTATAAATATGAGCTCTTAAAAGTGAGTTTCATCAAAGTGTATTAGTGTATATGATGTTCAGCATTGTTCGGCGTTGCTCGGTATGCTTTTTTTCACCAGGAGACTAGGGTTGCCAAACCTCCTGATTTGACCAGGAGTCTCCTGATTTTCAAACTTTTCTCCTGATAAAAATTCTCCTGAATTCAGGAACTGATTTTGAGGATTTTCTCCTGATTTCTACTGATTTTCAATTTTTTGTTGGCTTTGGTTTTAACGACATTTTGAATCAGTAAAAACTGGGTAGAAGAGAAAGAGCACTGTAAACGTAGAGGTGATCATTTCCTAGCTTATCTTCATGGTAGTGAGAATATGCCTAATGCATAAAAATTAGCCCCGTTATCTTTTTGTTGTATCTGTCTCCAATGTTTGTTGAGAGTGAATTTTCATTCATCTGAAATGTTTATAAAATGATAATAGAAATCGAACCATAAATCATTCTGTTGATGCAGAATTGAGAATTAGAATGAATAGTCATTCCGATTGTACAAAGTTTCCTAATTATTTTTGAAACAATCAAGAATTGACAACGCAAAGTTTTCTCGGCAGAAAAATGTAGGCATGTTGCACAAGTCATGCCGACAGATCGTAAACATTTTATATGCCATATTCGATTTATTTTGCTTTTTGGTTCTTGTCATATGCTTATAAAATATTTGCGTCTACTTTCTTTATGTCGGTAAATGTACAGATGTAAAAATACCAGTAGAATAAAGCACACGTAAGTATAGAAATGTCTCAAAATCTTGAAAAAATCTCAAAAAAAAAGAAAGGACAAATCTCGAATATCAGAATTGTCGAAAGGAGCATCTTAAAAGAATAAATATCGAACGTTCTTCGATGATCATTCTAAAATAGCAGGTAGAAAACACTGGCATCTCACCAACATTTTGTCAAAAAAGAGGAAAAAAAGGTACAGCATCCTTGAAAAAAAGTCGATTTTTAATAAAAACGAAGAGAAAAAGAGGCATACAGTTTTCGTCGGAAGAAAACTAAAACACACTGACACAATAGTACTATAAATCCGACAATACCTGCATGTTATCCGTATAGGTTGAATATGACTTGAAAGAGTAAAAAAGAAATAAAGCTTCTAATTGTCCATAGAGATTATTGTGCGACTGCTTATGTATGCATTAGAAAACGATAAACATTAGAAAAAAGTCTATTCTATTTACGTAGTATCTGACAATGATATTACTCTGTCTGAGTAAGTAGGCACACAGAAATAGAAACGATCAGAATTCATTAGATATCGTTTTGGCTTTTTGTTCCCTTTTTCGGATGGCTGCGCATGTGAAAACGGTATTTTTTCATCTTTTTTTCAAATTTCAGCAGTTCTTCCGTAATTTTGATCATTTTTCGCAATTCAGTTTCATTTTTTTCATTTCCCAGCGTAAATTAATACGTTGGTTGCAAGGACGCCCTACAGCGGGTTTGTGAGAAATTGTTTGATCCTGTGCTATCGACAACGCTTGATTTTTCACAGCGGAAAATGTTCATCTCCTTGCGTTCTGTAGAAAACAACATATATGTATTGGGTAGATTGTACGATTCCCTGCTTTTTTATTATCGGAGCGCATCTGTTTGTTGCTTTCTCATTCCATCATATCCGATTTCTTCCAAGTATCATCAAGCCGTGGTCAATATTTACCTATGTCAAACAGACACGCTCGTAATCGGAGAGATACTGCGTTTCACATGGCTCAGTATTGCGATCGTATAATTCCTTGATCTTATGCACAGAAATACGATCGTTTATGGACAAGCAAAGCTCGTCTACGGTTTTCGTTTTCTGTATTTCTTCGTATACTATTATATTTCTCTGTGTACCATTTGAAGACATACGATCGTCCAAATTGTGATCGTATACAGAGAAACACAGAAAGAGTGAAGTTGCTTCATTTTGACAGTAAATCAATCGCATAAGGTAAGCTAGCAGCATGTCACAGGAGCTGTAATCAATCCAGCAATTTTGAAGGATCAAATATTGCCAGACACAACATAAAATATTTTATCGGTATTGAATACAGAGAAATCTTCAACTTATGACATCATGCTGTCGGTGGCTATCTTGCCGAAGAAATCCTATCGGATCTGACAGGATTTTAGGGTATATTTAGCCAACCTGGAAACTTCTTCTCTCTTTGACGCATGCCTTACGCTACGAGTTAGCCATTCCTTGTTAGATTCACATCATAAGCTTCCCTAGGGTCGAGAAAAACGGCCAAGAAAAGTGAATGCGAGATTATGATTTTACATGTCAATCTAAACTAGAAAACTTGCAAGAGCCGTGAGAGAATGACAAGTTCACATCTGAAATATAATTGAGTGACTTTACCTTCGCTATAGAGCTACTAGAATCGAGTCCCAATTAGAGGTATATAACATCGTTGAAGGTGATCATTATAAAATCATATATTTTAGCCTCAATTATACAACTCGACTGACAAGCATATCAGTTTATGTTATGATATCTTTTTGTATGATATAGTAACATTAATCAACAAATTCATGCATATTTTCACCAACAACCTACTTTTTCGTGAGAAAAGAGAACACAAAAGAGGATTTTTCTGAAAAAAAGAGACTAAATGGAAGAATTTTAAAAGAAAAGAAGAAAAAGAGGTGGAGTGGGATGTCAGAACACAGGGAAATCTCACTTCATTCGCGCTCGTCCGATTTCGATAGGTTTCCAGCACGTCGCTTGGCAGTAGATCTGGTCGAAATTTTACCTAGCAATCTCCAGAGTGATCCAATCGGGA